GCGGATCAGCGCCGGCGTCTCTGCCGTCGCCATTTTGTGCCCTTCGGCGCCCCGCAGCCCGGCTGCGTGTGTCAGGAGGGAGCGCTCGGCCTTCCCCTCAGACACGGTAGTCGAGGCCCCTGGCACGAGGGTGAGTCTGTGAGCTACAAGGAGCAGGGGAGACAGCCAACCCTTCGCTGTCATGGGAACACATTACAGCTGCACAGATTTCTGGGGAAAAAGTCCATGCTTCAGGTCTCACCGAAGCAACCTAAACGCTTTCCAAACAGAAAGCAGAGTTCAGATCAACGCGTTGCTCCGGTACCTTCCACAGGGAGAGGCAGAACTCTTACCTCAGCTCGCCAACACTGCTCAAGTTCACAGCTGGCCCAGGAGCCGAGCAGTGGAAATTTCCATACATGCTTAATCACGAGTTTGTACCAGTGCCAGAAGGTGGAGCTTAAGAGAGGAGGAACCATGCTGTGAGCTGGCTGTTACAGAAAAAACCACGTCTCAAGTCCCAGCAAGTTAAAATCATCTCGGCATTGTCTGTTTACCACACAGCCCTATGCCCCAGGCCAGAGGAGGGACAGACCAAGAATGGAAAAAGACCAAAAGCAGTAGTAGGCCACTGGGTCAGCTGGAGGAGTTGTTACTCCTAGGTGCTGAAGTACTGCTAGTAACAATTTTACTTCTAAAGCAGGTTTGCCATGAGCTCAATTCTATTAGAACATCTCCGATACTGATGATGAGGTGCACCTACCTTCCACTGAGCAAGACCCTTCCCCCTCAGGGAGCACTCACCCTAGCTGCTGGTCCTTTGGCAACAGCCCAAGGCAAAAAAAAATTCAAGGCGTGGTCCTGTTTTTCAGGATGCCTTACTGGTTAAATAAAAATAATTTCAGAAATAACACTCCAGTCACATCGTATCTCTAGAAGCAGGACAGAGCTTTTGCATCCAAGTTTAAAATTACTTCAGCTTCTAAATGTAGCTGATTCGGCCACATGATTACATTTAAGTCCACCAAGAAGCTACAACCTTGAAAAAAAATCTGTACTCAAGTCATGAGGTACATCTCTTCCCATGATTTCCTGGTGAAGTTTCCAAAGCGCAGTTTCAACATGTATTGACTTGCAAACACCAGTCTGGGTTTCGCTTTCATGAATCTAGTTGGTGCTACCTCCCATCTAAAGGGGTAAAGACCTGAGTCTGTCAATTTTAATGCACTCGCTACATGTGTTCTACACATCCCTTTTTAGTGTAAAGTTTTTAAAACAAAAACAAGCTTTCCACAGATTGTTTTTAGGCAACTGACCTGGAAACAGCAATCAACACATCATATTTCAAAGACAAATAACCATCAACTTAAACAATGATGGCATTGGGAAAGGGGAATGTTGCAAAGCCCATTAAAATGACTCCTCCCACCTCACCAACTGCAGTTTTAGATTCAAGTGTGGTAGCATTTCAGCTGAAGTTCTCATAGCAACAGTGAATTATCACAAAAGCACCACTAACTGATAGAATCCACAGAAAAGGCAGAAATATGTCATTAGAGGCAGATTAGGCTGTGATTAATAACACCACAAACCATGCCTCAGAGGAAAACAATCACCAAGAGCAAAGCACAGACTAGCAAAAAAGATCTTAAGTGTAAAAAGAAATAGTCAGATTTTGGTTCAAAATAACCTACATAGAGTCTTGCCTTGATTCCTGCAGACAGATTCAACCTTGAATACATGAAGCTGTAGTTAAGCATTCTTAAACTTGAAACTAATTATTGTTACTGATAAACAAGTGAGAGGAAGGAATTGAAAGTCAGTACTAACTGTACTTTTAATATACTGTACATGAAAGCATTAAGTACTTTAACCCCAGGATCAAGTATTATTCCAGCTATGATCCTAATCAAGGAAATGCTGTTGCTTTGCTCAGCATCGGCAGTGCTTTGAGATTAGTCATTTACATGTACTGTAGGTATTGAAAAAAGATATCCATGAAGTATGCTCATGGATCAACAGCCCCTTTCCCTCCCCCCCCACTTCCATAAAGAAATCACTGCTCAAAACCAGTTTAAGTATAATTCAAAGTTTTAATACTAAGATCTTCCCATTTCTCTGAAGCTCATAGGAAGCCTGCATGCTAACTCACAAGGCCTGACAGCTGTAGATACATTACACTCAAGCCTAGTCTGCACATATGCTCCTGTGAAGGCGACAGTTACGGTGCTGCAAAAGCTTCCTACGCTCATAGCAGCTCATTAGCAACACCACTGCAGAGTTCTGGTTAGCAAGATTTTTAGCTATACCATTACTCCAGTGGATCTTTTCCAGAAACTGGCCCTATGCTAGTGAGACAAGGAAGAGTACTGTTTCCAACAGTTACTTAGAAGCCAGCTTTAGTTTTCTTCCCCCTGGAAGCAGAGCCTGCCATGCTAAGCGATCTAGCCCAATCAAGACAAGCTTGGTTTTTGTGTAAGCTTATAATCAGACACAGTTGAGAAACCTTTCTAGAATTTAATATAAAAACATTTGACATTCCATTAATGTAAAGTTGTGCACATGTTGAGAAAATTGCCATCTGAAAGAAAATTCGGTCTTCAAATATCTTTATTGGAAGGCCATGCACTGCCTTCTGTTACTGTATTTCAAATCACTGTACATTTACTTTGAAAACACTGTCTGCATTTTCTAGTACAAAAAACTAAAAATTGTTTCAGGAATGTAGAGAAATAGTCAACTTAAATAGCGAAAAAGTGCACCATAATTACTGCTGCACTGCAGTCATTTCTGCTTTTCCCATTTCTTAAATAACTATCCTGTTTTGATAACACACAATATAAAGAGCAATTATGAAAAAAAACTGAGACATTTAAATACACTAAGTTATTGAGAATAACTTGTTGGCATTGGGTAACCTATCATAGGAGCAGCACCAGTGGCAGGATATGCATACTGCTGTTGGTTCATGCCATTGTGCATATTTGCAATATTACTCCCATACTGCTGTTCATAGCCATTCTGGTAAGCTCCCGCAGGGTTACCAGCCCTGAAGCCAGCTTGCATGCCTGCAGCTGCAAAGCCATTTCCAAAAGGAGTTCCATTACTGAAACTTTGGGCACTGTAGGCCCCATTTTGAGTTTTTGCTCCAAAGTCTCTCTTTCCTAGTGCACCATAGTTTCTCTCAAAGTTCTCCCTCTCTCTAAAACTACTAAATCCACCCCTTTTGCCCGCAGAGTATCTGTCACGTCGGTCACCTCGGGAACGACCTATTAAAAGAGACAAGACATAGTTATATATATGGCTGCATTTTACATACCACCAAATGAGTTCAGGGAAATCTTTCCCTTTCTGCCTCAGCAATCTACTTTAAAAGCTTTCCAGTTGCTAACGGGACTCCAGTTAGATGAAGACTATTTTGATAGAGAAAGCCATTTAACCTATGAGGGGTCATGTGCTCTCCCCTGTAACCCAGCAGTGGCATCAAGGCAAAACATCACTTTCATCTTGCCAACAGGACTCTTGCATCTATCTTTCCTAGCCACGTGAGAGAAAGCCACAAAACTGAGCCCCGAGGTGTTTTACTTCAGAGCAAATACTCTGAAGTGTGTCTTTAGCCAGCACTGGCCATAGCATGTGTGGAGCATTTAGGTGGAGGGGGTGTTTGTTATGTGTTAATAAATACCTTTTCAGGGCACCGTAACTGGTAGCTAAATCACCATGCACATTCATTTTGGAGAGAGGTTGGAGGTGGAATTTGAGTTTCCAGTTTGTTCTGAGAAGAAAGCTATGCACTGTGGTCAAGACCAGTACTTACCTGAACCTCTGTCTTCAATCAACTGAAGCAATTTGGGGTTGATGGCTTGATTAGCCTCCCGAAGCACAGAGATGAGGTCATTTACTTGCTTAATATTGTTAGGAGTAAAGAATGTGTATGCTGTGCCTGTTTTGGTACTGCGGGCAGTTCGTCCAATTCGGTGGATATAGTCCTCTGAGGAGTTAGGGTAGTCATAATTGATGACAAATTTCACATCTTCCACATCTGTAAAGTGTTGCAGTGTGGCAAAAAGCAAGGTACAAAGTTTTGCACACCACAACAGCCAAATCGAAGATAAACATTAGACAACAGCACTTTAAAGGAAATAATGGCTGCAAAGAACAGTGTTAGAATTATCCATTTCTGCATGAGTATTGTGGAAGAGAAAGTTATGCACACTCCGTCTGTTCCCGTCTCATCACCCACCCTGTGATCCAAAACCTTACCATAAAGGAGTATGCATTTGCTTGTCATTCCCAACTCAAGAGTCCCCTTTACAAATCATCAAGTGACATCTGAATGCTTCTTGCAGTAGGGCCACTAAAGCTCACAGCAGCCTCTTCATGTGCTCATTTGAGGACCTTAGAGTAAAAACATACAAGGTCCTTCACATACACACTCATTAGAAGCTCAAAAAAAAGGGGCCACACTGCTCGTCTTGCCAAGACCTTTGAACCGCAGCTGCAAGAAAAACATACCTGTCCCCCCAAAGTCACCAAGTTGTTTTTATGCACTGTGTCTCGTCTAGGCAAGCGCTTCCAAGAAGCCAGGGTTCACTTGAGAATGTGTCTCTCTCTGGCAGGTCTCGACATGACGACTATGTATAGGTGGAGGAACTTCGACTTTCAAAGGCATTTGAAAAGCCATTGCTTTCCTGCCCCACTTGCTAAAGTGAGAGGTGGACTTTTTCTCAGATTTCATGTGCCAGTACTCACCAATTTGTACAAGGCTTAGTACATTTTAAAGCTGCTCTCTCCATTTCATGGTTGAAAAAAATTTCATTGAACATTGAAGTTTGTAATTATTTTCTTCGACATTTCAGCAAACTCACTGAAATTCAAAGACCCACAGATCACAGCAGACAGTATGCACAAAACTAACAGTACTGCACCATGGCAAATCATGCAAAGCATGGAGAGAAAAGAAATACCAGGGCAAAGTGAACTGTGAATGAAACTGCTTATTTCATGAGAGAACAGTTTATGGGGTAGTAGTTTAAAGGATGGTCTTTGCCTTTTGAAGATTACTGGCACACAATGCTCTCAGCTTTCACCTCTCTATTTGACTGGAAGCAGCCAGCCGATCATTTCCACTAGTCCTCCATCCCCCTCGAGTCCTCCGATTGTCATGCCTAGGCCTTGCCACAAAGACTGCACCTTTATGTGAAGAAAACTTAGAAAAATGCAGAGGTTAAAGAAAGCAATAGACTTTCTTTAAATCGCTTTGGGCAACTGGCATTACGAGTTGTACTAACCTAGACCTCTGGATGCAACATCTGTAGCAATCAGGATTGGTGCTTTTCCATGTTTGAATTCTGTAACACAAGGAACCCATCAGTTTCTTCATGAAGCAACACAGATCACACACTTGTAGGAAATTGCTGAAACACTCACCATTTAGAACCCAGTCCCTCTCCTGCTGGCTTTTATCACCATGAATACCCATTGCTGGCCACCTGAAAACACAGAACTTGACTGACCTCAGAGCATTGCATGAGTAGTTTAGTTAGTCAAAGACAGGGCTACTGGCAAGTTGCAAATAGTTAAAATGCTAAAACTAACTCTAGAAGCTGACACCTGCTGTCACTGTATTCGACAGTTTTGACACCACAACTAAGTGGTCGCTCAAAGAATCAAGAGCATGCTCAGACTATTGGGGTGGCTCACTGAAGTTCAAGCTGTTAGACTCACCCATCTCTCCTCATTTTCCTGGTAAGATCATCACACCGTCTTTTGGTTTCCACAAACACAATTGTTTTATTTTCCTTCTCACTCATTATTTCTTCCATCAAACGAATAAGCCTATTATGAAGATATGATGGTTAGGGCTGGGATTGATTTGTACTATGAAAGTTTAGTTTTAACAGACCAATTTTTTACTTTTAGTGGTCTCAGACTGGTCTCAAAAATCCATTAAAGCAAATTCATTTCACAGTTCATAAACTAAACCTAACCACTAAAATCATATTGAATGCTTTGTGCCCACTGACTACTTACTTGTCATCTTTCTCCACATCATGACACACATCCACAATCTGAAGAATGTTGTGGTTCGCGCTTAGTTCTAACGCACCAATGTTGATGTGTACATATTCTTTCAAAAAGTCTTCAGCCAGCTGCCTTACTTCCTTTGGCCATGTGGCACTCCACATCAGAGTCTGCCTGTCAGGCTGAAGAAGGAGACTAATTCAGTACAAGATCAATATATTGTCAAATGCCCAACCAAAAAAAATCTACCCAGACAAGCCTGAAAGTCAACTGCACTGCCCTTGCTTTAATAAGCATAGTGGAATTTCCTTCTGTAAGTGATAAATGCATGAACCATTTATACTCACTCTTATCTGATCCACAATTTTTCTGATCTGAGGTTCAAATCCCATGTCAAGCATCCTGTCAGCTTCATCAAGAACAAGGTAAGTACACCTCCTGAGATTGGTCTTCCCAGCTTCTAAGAAGTCTATAAGTCTTCCAGGTGTTGCAATACAGATTTCCACACCTAAAAACCAAGCAGTCAAGTCAGCTGAAGTAGTTTTCACATTGCCTCATGCAGAGATGCATCAAGGCTTATCCATACCTCTTTCCAAGTCACGAATTTGTGGTCCCTTTGGAGCACCTCCATAAATACATGTAGACTTCAAACGGCATGCTCTGCTATATTCAGCAGCTACCTGCTGCACTTGTTGAGCCAGTTCACGAGTTGGTGCCAGCACAAGACACTAGAAACAAGATACCCAGCTTTTAGTTCAATACCCATTTGAAGTTTCTAGTATGACACTAGTTTTAAATGGATAAGTTGTCATATGCTACTTCAGTATCAGAATGACTAGAGGGGATTTAAGTAGCCCAAACCAGCAAACTGAATTACCTAGCATCTCAGTTACTGCCAAACATTGACCTATGCTGGGTGTAAGACACCTGAAAGTCACTAGCTTCCAGGGGATAACAGTTTTCTAAATGGGAAATCTGCCCTGTTCTGTACAATTTTAAGGACAATCCAATCAGAGCTCATGGAATGTTCTTGGGAGACCACCAAAACATGGAACCACTTTAGTCATACAGAGAGACACAATACAGCCATGTACTCTTATGAGCATGGACAATTGAACTGTAAAGAAGTCACATTCTCTAGAAATGAACATCCCCTTTCATTTACGAATACTCACAATAGGTCCATCTCCTCGCTCCAGGAATGGCTGATGATTTATATGCACAATAGCAGGCAACAAATACTGTTTGGAAAAAAGAAAAGTCTCATTACAATCTCTTCCCTGTAGTGTTCAGCCTGCACTAAGCCAGGCCATAACTTCATTGCTAAAATCCAGCAGTATTCCAGGCTACAATCAAAACTTACAGACAGTGTTTTCCCTGATCCAGTCTGTGCCACTCCAACCATATCCAATCCACTCAGTGCAACAGGCCAACCTTGTGCTTGAATAGCAGTTGGTTCAGTGAAGTTCTGCCTCTGAATTACTTCCATAACGTTTGCTTAAAGAGAAAATTGCAACTTATTAACTTGGACTTTGTCTTAATCAAGCCTGGAAGAACAACCAGTATGCTAGCCTTCACTTACCAGGAAAGTTAGCTTCATAAAAGTTTATAATTGGTTTTGGACAGTTATGGCCCCTAACTGTGACTTCTTTGCTTGATCTGTACTGTTCAACTTCTTGCTGCAAGGCAAAAATCCCATTATTGGAAATAAGCTTCGATATCAAAGTTATCTTTTAAGTTACCCCATCCACGCTGCTTGGGCCCCATGACCCTCAGTGTGTTTGCACTTATTTGTTTACTTTTGCAGGACTTGTATAGGGTACATACCACAGTACGTCTAACTACATCAGGATGTTCTTGATAGAAGTTCTTCTCAAATTTGGGCAGCTCATCTAAATTCCATTTCTTTTTTGTAAGTTTTTCCCCAGGGTTTCCAAATTTCTTCCCAGAGAGAGGTCCCCCTCTACTTCCTCCAAAACGGGGGGCTCCAAACCTAGAGAAGATCGTAACATAAACCATCAAACATGGAGAGTAAGAGGAACAAAATGTTCCTCTTGGATAAGCTAACCACCATCTTCACATTCCACCTTGTAACTTTACAATTCAGATTTATAAACCCCACCTACAGGATACTGAAACTTCAAAAAACACTCTTAAGTTGCAGACAATCAGCCTAGCTACAGCTCATATTCAAAAGCTAAATTAGTAACACCTATCTTTGCAGTTTCCATTAAACGAAATTGAAAGGCCTATTGGCAAGTGACAACAAAGTAAGGACATTAAAACCTTTTTATTACCCCATGATCAAAATGGTTTCCCACCCAAGTGACGCTCCCATTGTGTGTCAGCCTGAAGAAAGTGGGCAGTTACGAAACCTTGGGATAACTTCCCCGTAAAGTGTTTTCTTGTATACCAAAAGACAGACCTCACTCAATAACGATGTTTTAGCAGCCCATGCGTTTTATGTTGGCATTTTAGGTTCGGTCCCTCCGTTTAGAAAGGCTCGTCTCGAAAGCCCGTCCCGGTAGCCCTGATGCGCAGCTCAAAGCAACGCGAAGCCCTGCGCTGAGAACGGCTAGCTTGGATCCCAGCGTGGGACTCCCTCCCCCGCACCGATTGCTCCCCAATTTTGGCCAGGCAGGCGCTAGGATCGATCCTTCCCAGCACAACACAGCGCTCCCAGAGGGGACCTGGCTGAG